GGCAAGGGCTGAGAGGTGATTACAGCATTGAGAATCTGGGGATCTACACTGGGTAATGAGGAAAGTGAAAAACTGAGGGGATGAAACACCAAAGAAGCATGAGAGTCAGTGAATGGGAGGTCTGGGTGGGGTTGAAGAGCTTTTGGGATGGGGATTCTGGGCAGAGGAAGGGGTGATATGAAAAGACTGAAGATTTTGAAGGGGTGGCAGTTATTGGTGCCAACCAAGTCAAAGATTTGACACTGGGAGTGGTTGGGTAGAGAGAAAAACATTGTAGGTACTAAATTTTCATGAATGAAGGGGAGTGGTGACCCAAAATGAATCATGGGGAATCAGAGCTCCCAAGTAGATTTTATTTTTATTTTATTTTATTTTTTATTTTTTTAGGCGAGGCAACTCTTGGTGACCTCACAGATTGTAAGGACCTTGTCAGCTTACAATCCCTTATTTTTTTTATTTTTTACGCCTACAGCACCTGATCTTACTAGGTGGTCTCCCATCCATGTACTAACCGGGCCCAACCCTGCTTAGCTTCCGAGATCATACGGGATCAGGCTTGTTCAGGCTGGCATGGCCCTAGACCCAAGTAGATTTTAGAGGGGGCCAGAGCACCTCTCTTGGATGACAGAATCTTTGTTGATAGGGGTCGAAGAGCCAAGGGCACCACGTTCTGAGGAGGAGTTGAGGTAAGGCGAAAGGAAGCTCAAATTGGAATATGCTTCCTGAGGGAGGAGTCTGAGTGAGGTGAAGAGATCTGGAAGAAGTTATTTTCAATCACTTCCTCCTCCACCAAATTCCTTTCAATTTAATTGAATTCAAAGAGGTTTTATCTCATAAGAATCTGAAAACCAGAGATAATCCAGATTTGTCTCCTTTCTTCACAAGGTAAGGTAAGCACATCAAAATCTCAGGTGGGGAGAGATGGGGGAAAAATGCAGATAACATGAATTATTGGTAGATTTTAGACCCGATACATTGTAGGTACTCTGGTTGAAGCCACACCTTTTGGCCTCTACCCTCCTTTATGGTGGTCTCTGAAGTGCCTCTAAACCTGTGATTCCCAGCCTTGGGTGCCCAGGGGAATCATCTGAGGATGTCTTAAAAAATATTGGTGCCTGAGTATCATCCCCAGAGATTCTGATTTAATTGGCCTAGATGCAAACAGGGCTTTGGGATTTTTAAATGCTCCCCAGGGCTGAGAATCACTGCTCCAAGGAACACTTGACGCTCTGTTTAGAAACCCACTGCTCTAGTCCAACCTATAGCAGAGAGAGATTCATTCTTGCTGGAGTGAGGGGGTGAATTCATCTGGGCCTTAAAGGATAGGTAAATTTTGAACAAGTGGAGAAGCAGATGTGAAGTGGGGAAGAACATCCTGAGCAAGGGCTTAGAGGTGGTCTGAAACACATGAGAAGCAGCAAATGATTTGGTTTATAATAGGCGGTGGTTAAAGAGGTCTAAGATTTGAGAAGAGCTGGGCAAAGGCCTGGAGATGGAAATGATGAATAATTCAGTTTGGTTGAAGATTAGGTTAAAGAGAGAAAGCTGAATGATTTTAAATATTGAAAGGGATTGAAAGCCAGATTAAAATTTTGCGAACAATTGAGTAAGCAATAGAGAATCTTGAAGGCCCTTTGAGCAGTGTCAGGAGAGGATTTATGTGTGTAGGGAGAATAGCCTGACAGCAGTGTTGAGGGAGACTTGGAGTAGGGAGAGGTAGGAAGTAGGGAGACCTTCTTCTGTTAGGGGAGCTGTTGCAATAATCCTAGATGAGGTCATTGAAAAATGACAAGGGCTGGGGAAATGTTACAGATTCAGAAAATATTGTGATGGTAGAATTGACTGAAGCATCAAGTTTTCAGATAAGGGTGCTGGGAAAATGGTGTCATTAATAGAAACAAGGAAGCAGGTTTTCAGTGGCACTTCATCAGTTTGGTTTGGAACATGCTGAGTATAGAGAACCAGCAGCACGGTCTGTCCACACACCGTGTCACAGGCCCTGGAAGAATGTCTGCATATAAATGCATAAGTTGGGTAATGTCTTAGTCAACTCGGTCTGCTGTAACAAAATGCCATAAATTGGGTGGCTTATAAAAAATAGAAATTTATTTCTCACAGTTCTGGAGGCTGGGAAGTCCAAGATCAAGGCACCAGCAGATTCGTTGTCTGGTCAGAGACACTTCTGCTTCATGGACTGCTGTCTGCTAGCTATGTCCTCACATTGAGGAAGGGGCAAGGGAGCTCTCTGGGGTTGCTTTATAAAGGCCACTAATCCCATTCATGATAGTCCACCCTCACGACCTAAGCACCTCCCAAAGGCCCCCCTCATCACACTAGGGATCAGGTTTCAACATATGAATTTCTGGGGAACACAAGCATCCAGTCTACAGTAGAGAAGCATTAGAAATGATGTCTGAGTTTGGAGTGGATGAGATTTTCAAGGGAAAGTCTCAAAGAAGGAAAAAATCCAGAAATATGCATATAGGAGAAGGGAGGAGAAAAAGGGAGGGGGCACATGATTAGAGGTGTGTGTGGAGGTAGAAGGTGAGAGATGACATGTCCCTGAACCCTGGGGGAATAAGGAATCCAGGATCTAGGGACAAATGTGAGAGGGTTCAGAAGGCAGTGTACTGTGAAAATGCCATCGATTTTGGCTTCTGGTAACTTCTGATCATTGGGCACTATTTGAGAGAGCAGTTTCAGTAGAGTAGAGAATGGAAGCATAGTTCAAAGGATTAAGGAAAAGTGGGTACAGACACAGACACATCAGTGACAACAATACTCTCTACTTAGGGGAAAAATGAGTAGGTGGTGAGGAAGAAGAGGTTGCAAATGTGAATTCTTTTTTCAAGAAGTTTGGTGAGGAAGGCACATTCAACCTGAAATGTCCAAGGGAGAACCCATGATTTCCAGACCCCATCCCATCCTCTTCCCATGTCTGCTATCCTGGTGCATGGCTTTCCTTCTAGATTACTAACTCCATAAGGTCAATGTTCACATCTGCTGTCTTGGCAGATGTCTCACTAGCATCCTGCATGGTATCCGCATGTTATATGAATGCATGAATTCAAGATAGGACCCTGTCTTATAGGTGTACAACGGAAGATACCAAGTCTACAGCTTGTGCCCCTCCCTGCACAAGAGGCCTCCTGTCTGATCTCAGGATAGGAGAGGGCAACTAGCTCCAGCTGAATCTGAAGAGACTATAGACTTCCTCCATGGAGCTCTGCGGTGGTCTGAATGTTTGTGTTCCCCCCAAATTCTTATGTTGACATCCTAATGTGCAGTGACGGTATTAGGAGGTGGCGCCTTTGGCAGGTGCTTAGGTCATGAGGGTAGAGCCCTCATAAATGGGATTTGTGCTCTTATGAAAGAGACCACACAGAGCTCCAGCTCCCTAGCCCCTTCTGCCGTGTGAGGATACAATGAAAAGTCTGCAACCCAGAAGAGGGCCTCCACCTGATGGTGCTAGCACCCTGATCCCAGACTTCCAGCCTCCAGAACTGTGAGAAATAAATTTCTGTTGTTTAAGCCACCTTGCCAATGGTACTTTTTTAATAGCAGCTGGAAGAGACTGAGACAGGCTCCCACAGCTCTCTGCTCCTTTTGCCTTCCCTATACTAGTACAACACACCACTCAGTGCTCTAATTCACTGCCACCCTCCAGCCCCCAGGTAGGAATAGCTGTTGGCAATTGGCATCTTTTCGCTGCCCCTGCCACCCTATCTCTGGCCAACTTCTTCAGAATGGCCTGCCCCCTTCTTTCCTCCTGACTTCCTGAAGTTCTGGAGATAGATCCCTAGGTCTCCCTCCCATTCGAAATCTCTAAGCCCAGTGTGGTAGGAAGTGGAAGAGATGTGCTGGGAAAATAATTTCCCACTGAGAATGGACCCCAAAGTCTTCCTTCGTAGGATCCAAGGGAGCCCCCTCTCCCCCACCATTTTTGGGCGTCTCTCGGGTTTCCTGGAAATCTGTCTCCTCCCACTTTTGTCTGTCATTTTTCTTCCCTTTCCCCTCCTCCCACCCCAAGGGAAATGAGTGAGGGAAGGTGTAAGGGGGAACCAAAAGTGCAGCATCTCTGCAAAGCTGCGGTCTTTGAAGCTGCGGTAATAAATCCACTTAGATTCTTTAATATTGTCTTTCAGAAATTCACACACGCGCACATATCAGAACAAAGTGGGGACTGCCTAGGGAAGCGGGGAGCAGGCCAGCTCCCTCCCAACATTGGGAGGTCGGTACCCTGCGTTCCCTTCTGCCTGGCTGCCCAGGGGTTGGGAGAGATGGAAGTATTTACAGAGAACAGGGATGTAATCTTCATCCCAGGGTGAAGCGTTCTAAACTGGGAACCTCCCAAATCTCATTCCAAAATAAAACAAAAATAGAGGTTCTGGGATTAGCAAGAAAATCGGCGGAGGCCTGGGTGTAGGAGATGCAAAATTGTACCAACAAGAAACGCGAGTGAGCGTGGGAGCTTGGCCGCCCGGGTGCTCGGTCCTTGCGCGGGGAGAAGGGGAGGGGTCTGTTGGTCTGGGCCTGGCGCCAGAAACCCAATCACCGGACTGAATCACCCCTCAAGGAGATAAAGAAGGCGGAGCCTGCCGACCTGAAGGAGGGGTTTTGTCAGAGCCGGGGCTGAACCTATAGAAGAGGCGGGCTTTGGGCACTCGATCTCCAGGTTGCCAAGCAGAGAACCAAGGAATTTCCCCTGGAGGCAATGCATTTAGAGGGAGTGGGGGTCTGGAGTTATTGGGGGCCTGGAATTTGCCTGGGATCCAGGAAAGCGGCGTCCTTGGGAGTGTGAGCTTTGGCGGGGTTCCTGAGGAACTGGATTCGGAGCGTGCCCACAAGGCGAGAGGTTCCGCGGAGGCCAAGTTTAGGATGTATCGAAGTCCGGTAGCCCCAAGAACGAGTGTGCAGGGCGCCCGTTGGATCCGCGGCGTTACTGAAGAACGCACTTGGGAGGTCGAGGGGAGCAGGGTGGGGCCGGGCCGGGGGCGTCCTTACGGATCCCAGTAGTTGTCGTGGTGCTGCGCGGCAATGATAATAACTACCGTGAGGATGGTACACAACACCATGGCTGCGATGCCCACGGCCAGGGAGATGAAGGAGAAGTTCCGGGCCTCGCGCGAAGCGATCTCCGCTGACACCATGTCTCCGCGAGCCAAGGCGGTGCGCACCTGCCGGCAAGGGATGGAGGAAAGCAGATCAGAGAGCTGCACGCCTCAGCCTCCCTCTAAGATACTCCTCAGAACGTCCAGCACTCTCAGGGAGTAAGAAAAACCGAGCCAGTCTCCTTCCTAAACACCTCCCCCTCACACACACACCTGCACTGCCTTGAAGATGGCGATGATGCCCGTAGGCCAGAAGCAGCAGATAGTGGTCAGCACCGCGATGGGCATGTAGTCGTGCGGCGGACGCCTCGGCTCCAGCAGGGCCAGACCCGGGCCCTGGGGCGGCGGGGGGAGCGTGGGGGTTACTCCGGTTCCCCCCGGGGTACCGCCTGCATAGGGCTGTGGAAGAAAGGTCGGAGGAGAAGAGAAGGCGTCACTCTAGCCCTCTCGGAGCCCCACAATGTTCCGCATTTGGGAGAGCAGTTTTTAAAGCACAGTACTTGTGCATTGCTTCTCAAAGAACCTGATCATCCACTACCCTTCCAGAACACCCGTAAATTCCACCTAGATCCCTCTCCTCCCTTCATTGCTGTCAATAACCCTACATATATTTTTTGGAGGTCTCCACACTCCCTTCCCCAAGGTATGGCCCCATCAGTGCTGCCCTGGCCTCACTTCGGACCTTGTTTTTTACTCTCCAGATACCTACCTGGCCTCTCTTACTCACCCAGTCCCAGGTTTCTTCTCTCTCGTCCGCTCTGTTCCCCCTCTCAGGCTATGATCACTGACTCTAGCTGACTGCCAGACACCACTGCCCCCATTCCCAAGCCTTCCCCTAGTCCCTCCTCTCTCTAGGCCTTACCCACCTGCCAACACCACCTGGTCCCCTGGCCCCCTTTCTCTATCCCACCAGTCCTCAGTGTCTCCCCGGTTCCAGGACCTGCTCCACCGGGCCCTCCCCCTCCTCCCAGGTTCCTGTTGTCTCGTACTTACCGTGCCCACGGGGTAGACTGGCACGTAGGCAGTGCAAGGCTGCAGCTGTAAGGGGTAGCCAGGTGCCACGTAGCCCCCCAGGGGCAGCGTGCCTACTGCCCCAGTATGCGTGGGCACCACGAAGCCCGGGGCCTGGGCAGTATGAGAGGTAGCCGGTGGAGGCGGGGCAGCGGCGGCGGGCGGAGGCGGTGGCAGTGGGCCTTCGAAGCGAGTCTCCTGCAGGTAAGGGTCGGGTGGCATGCGGGGCAAGGTAGCGCAGCCGGGTGGGGGCGCCCCCGAAGCCGGGCCGGGCGGGGCGTGATGTGGGGGCCGAGGCAGAGTGGCAGAAGATGAGGGACCACGCTGAGCTGTGGCCCCGGAAGAAGCCAGGCCGCCCGCTCCTAAGCGCGGGAGGGTGGCGGTGCCAGACTGGTGGTAGTGGTGGTGGTGGTGGTGGTGCGAGGAGGGGGCCGCCTGCGGGGGCAGGGTGGGGGTTTCGGCCGGTGGCTGGGGGGCATTGTACGGTGGTGGAGAAGTGTGGGGGACTGAGTCTGGGAGGCCTGGCGGCAGTTAGCAGAAAAGAAGGTACAGGGAGAGATCAGACAGCGATGAGATAAGGAGGGTTAGGGGGAGACATAGAGGGTCAGGGATGGAGAAAGATAATGGGAGAGACAGAGAGGAAATGGGTGAGAAACCATCTCATTCTTGGGGCAGGGGAGGGGTTGTTTCTAGGCCATCTGTGCCTCCCCCCCAACTTCTGTCTTTCAATCTAGTTTTGAGGTCACAACTCTCCTCTGTTCCTCTCCCTTCTTCTTCAGCAAGGTGCACACAGCTTTCACCAGCAGACGCAATTTCCTATGGCATATGGCTGCTTTTGGGATTGCCTGAGCTAGTTCTGCGTGAGCACATGGGTAGACAAGCAACCCTGTGTTAACATGTACTCAATTCAACAGTTGTATAAACACATGTAGGGTAACATGTTCCACTCTGCCATTCCTTCACAGGCGAGGGGTTGTCCTAGCCTCTCTGGGAATCTCAGTACTTCTTTTAGGGCTGATAAAGAAGGATGTGCTGGATTTTACTCTCCTGACAACCCCCATCTGATCATGTCTCCATATTTCCCCACTGGATGTCTCCATGCCAGTGAGAGTCATCTGTCCATCTGTTACTCCCAATGATGCTATCCCTGAGGTACCTGGCTGATGCTAATTTACTCTAGTACTTCCCTGACTACCTCAACGGTCCCAACCCCCTCCCCCCTCCCCCCACTGCCCACGTTGTTGGCAGGGGGCAGAGGCTGAAACTGGAAGGAGGAAAAGAAGAGAAGGAAGGGATATAGTAAGAGGAGGGGGATTTAGGGGGTAGTTGAAAGCTGGACAGAAAGGGAATGAAACAGAACCACCGGTTAGGGAGGGATAATGGAGAGGGTTGCAACCGAGGGTGGGCGGGAGAGTCAGAAGACCGTAAAGAGGATGGGAGGTTTTGTTGTGTATTTTTTTACCTGACTTTTCCGATGACATCCCTGTGGTCTTACTGGTACAGGGTCCCTGCAGCTGGAGTTGGGGTCCCCGGCTTGCGCTGGGAGTCTGGGTGCACGGACTGCGCAGCCAGCCGCAGCGCAAGAGATAGAAGACGGCGGGCGGG